CTCAAAATCAATGAGCCTCTTGTGTTTTAAAGGTCCAGTGTGTCAGATTTAGGTGAAAGGGAACTATTGGCAGAAATTTAATGTAGAATAATCCTCATGATGTTTTCACTAATTCATTTCATCTAAATTGTATTGTAGTTTTCTTTACCACAGAAAAGGACCTTTATATTTAAATACCTTATATTTACATTGAGGGGACCCTCTCTCAAGGTCGCCATGTTTTTTACATTAGTTCAGACTGGACAAACTAAACACCTTTTAAGTTTTTATGACAATTAAAGGCTCCCACAGTTTCTTTTTCATGTTTTGAAGGAGAGGGTGAGGTGAGGGGTGTTCAGCTGCAACATGTCATTTCAACACTAGATATCACAAAATTCTACACACTGTACCTTTAACAAATATGAGCTGTGCAACCCTTTGTCACCCTAAAGTCTAAGTTTCCTAATAAAAATAATACACAAAAACCATTAATGTGTTTCCATTTTTTTATTTTTTACTTTGCAGATTAATTATGATTTCTTACTTAAATCACAACATTGCTCACAAATTCTTCATGACAAAACATACTTATACATATCCATTGTTATTTACAATTGACAAATTATCAGTGGCAGGGAAATAAGTCTTCTTGATGAGCAGTTTTTAAGCAGGCCCAACTTTGGAGACTTCAGTCACTGATTGTGTTGTTGATGATTCCTCCTCACCTCCTCCCATCCCCAGCAGCATCATCATGCATGAACGAAACTGAAAGGAAAAAATAAATTACTGAAATTGTTAGGAGGTACAGTGCTTTTGTTGAGCAATCAATCCAAACAACAAAAAGCCTCTGCAAAGTCAAAAATATTCATCCTTATCATCATACATGAACATAACAGAGAGGAGTGGGGAAAGCACAAATTAATCAAATCAAAAGGAATGTTACAAGTTTTGCATCTCCCAACTCAGCTATTTTCAGTGGGATTATTCAATTTTTCACTTTAAAATCATTCAATCCAACTGTGATATCAGAATACTTATTTTAGAGTTAGATAGTTTTGATTACCATCAATCATTCAAGGTTAGGGTGATACATGACTGTTAAAACATTAATTCATGTATAGTAAGAATGTTAGAGTATAGAAGTGTTTTTATTCATTTCATCAATTAATACATTAGAGCATATACTCAAACGTCTGCTTATCAAGTAGTTTTACAAATTATGGTTTGTTAAATGGTAATAGGGAAATACCTTTAAATGTGACACCACGTAACTTCTCAGTGCTAAATAATATTTTCTGGATGTATGTCTGATTGAACAGGGACACTTTAAGGTGCCTAGATGAGTGGTTTACGTCACAACATTTTTACAGACCTGTTTATTGAACAGGACGTAGATGACAGGGTTGTAGACTGCAGAGGCCTTCGAGAAGCAGGAGGGTATGGTGGCCAGTCTCAGGTCGAACGGTTGCCCTCGGTTGTTCACGACCCAAAGAGCAAAGGTAGTGTAGGGCAGCCAGCACACCAGGAAACCCATCACCATGAGAACCACCATCCTGGTGACCTCCTTCTCTGCTTTCTGGGTGGAGGCAGACTCAGCTTGAGCCTTCGCTGCCTGGTGAGGGAGAAGAGAGACAAATCTGTCAAAATCAGTTGTACAGCTTTGATAAGATATAAGATGCATTCAGGTATACACCTTGCTTTGTCATGAGACGACTTTTCAGACAATTTTTTTAGTATGTTTAAACTTTGTGTGTGTGCATGTGGCGTGCATGCGTGTGCATGTGTGTGGGAATTTTTTTGCATCACCATTTTCAGTGTGATGAGCAGCTGTGTGTAGCAGAAGATGATGGTGGCAAAGGGAACGGCAAAGCAGAAGCAGAAGAGGAACATCACGTAGGATTCATTGTTGTATTTGTTGTTTGTGGTGTACCAGTCTGGTCCACAGGAGCACTGCAGACCCTCTGGGATGTACCTGGACATATTAGCACAAGGCCATTGAGCAATCATTCCAATTCACAAGTTGTAAGATGAGTCTTTTGCCATTGGTTACCTGCTCCATCCAAACAGAGGAGGAAGTGAGGCAATAAGTGCAAACACCCAGGTGAATACGCAGCAAGCTATAGCATGGTCAGGCTTGAATACAAAGTTACCAAGTGGCTTGCAGATGACCAGCCATCTTTCAAAAGCTATCACAGCCAGAGACCACAGGCTGACCATACCTGCAATGACAAAGAGAAGCAATTTAAGCCCCTTTTTCAAATCACATCAAGTTAATTTAGTAGTCAGGGTGAAATTTAGCATTTTTTGTAAATCTTACCTCCGAGTGTTGCCATAAAACCCTCAATCTTGCATGCTAGTGCTCCAAAAATGAAATATCTGGTTGAAAAGGAGCAGCAAGCAGTGAAGGAGCCTATACAGGATACAAGAAGGTTCGCCACAGCCAAGTTCACCAGGATGTAGTTAAGGTGGGACCGCAGTTTTTTGTATTTGACGGTGCATGCGATGGTGAGGGTGTTGATGCTGGTGCCCACGACAAACACGAAAAACATAAATCCTGCCATTGCATAGAAGATGCCCGAGCTCCCCAAGTGATCCTGGGGAACTAGGAAAGGGCTGAGTGCTGTGATGTTGTTGGTGTCCAGACTGATGGGTATCCAGAAGTCCTCTGGCAGCTCCTCACCACGATTTGACCTCATTTTGCTCTTTTGTGTGATTACAGATCAAAGCACTTCCTAAATTCTTTGCTTTCACATATATTATATACAAAAGGAGGAGGAAGGAACGTTTGAAGGAGCAGACAGGAACACTACAATGTGTGCGTCCGTAACATCTCTTGAGCCAAACTCTAGTGGAGGACTTTTATAAAGGTCCCTGAGATACCACTTATCCCAATTAAAGAGCTACTTAACTCTTTAATTGATTAATTGATTGATTGATTGATTGATTGATTAATTCATTGGGGTTTGCATTCATTTGTGTAAGTCATTTAGGGGTTTCCCGTCCTGATTGTAACGACACAGAGTTCAGAGGCCACACAGCTTGGTTTCACAGCTTGTGCAGACAACATCTGCCACTCTTTCAAAGACATGACAGCCAGGTGCTGTATATTGTCAAGTCACAATAAGTGTTACTCTCATTGGAGAAACCACAAAACCGTAAGGAGGTTTGTGCTAATGGACTGAAAGAATTTGTTAAGGCTTATCTAACTGCATCCTGCAGTTAAGAACATCAACATACTTGACTGATAGTAAGAAACTCAAGGTTTAGTTCTTGTCAGAAACAATACCTACATGTATCTGAATCACGTAGCACACAAACATGCATGTACCTGCCAAAAATGTGTATATCATGCACTTGTGCAGATGCATGAACACTTGTACTTCATCATCAAAACCTTGATAAACAGGTTAATCCCACTTACTTAAAGAAGATCACTGCAGTTCTTTGCCGGCTAATCTGGTTTCTATTAACCTTTTGTCTGATAATCGCATGTCCTGTAGCCTTCTGTAATCCGCTCTGCTGGATTAACTCAAGATTTGTTACCTTTATAGCATTTTGCCCATTTTCCTGAACTAAAAAGATGTGCAAGATGTTGGAAATGCAGTGCAATAGCAGAGGCTGCAGGAAAGGGCTCCTCTTTCCTTTGCCAGATATGGTTCCGCAGCTCCCAAATAGCTGTATCATCTGAGTTCTCATGAATCGTCCCTAGTCTGGCCTCAACCCTGCGTCCAAATTGCCTTGGACTCTAGGGCAGGGACAACACAGCTCCGAGGAGAATAGGACAAACAAACCCCTCCACCATCTTAATGTGGTAATAAGGAACAAATACATTTCTTTGTTTTAAATTGCACAAGGTTATTAAAAACACAACAACGAAATAAAGAGTCAGTATTAACACGGTATTGCTAATTCTTGATCCAAACATTTTTATTTTTTTATATTTGCTGTGTAAAAGATGTTTTAATTATTCCCTATAGCACTTTATTGCACTCTATGCAATTTATCGCACAAAATATGTTTACATATTTACATTAAACAAATTGTCAGTCGCCTGTGCAGAGGTATTTTGACAATAAAAAGAAAACACTGTGGAAAACATTGCGGATGTTCAGTCTAAGCAGGCCCAACCTTGGAGACTTCGGTGACTGAGGTCTGTGATGTTGAAGATTCATCATCATCACCTCCACCCATCCCCATCATCTTCATCATGCATGAACGGAACTGGAAGACATGGAAGTAAAGCTGATTTAGGGACACATTTTCAAAACAAGATAAATTACATGCAGTTATTTTACTTTTATTATTTATATTGAAGATCTTATCCCCCTGTTTCAAATCAGTCACTCTATCTCTTCTGTCATCCTTTACAATTAGATGAGCTGTTTACACCAAAGTTTCTCTACTGTTGAAGGTCCTGATCTCTATTGTGTTTATGTATGTTGCTGTAAAAATACTTTTTCATTTAGATGTTTTTTAGTCTCTTTTTGACCCATAACTGTAATTGATTCTCAGTCTGATCGTACACGCAACAGACCTGTTTATTGAGTAGAACATAGATGACTGGGTTGTAGACTGCAGAGGATTTGGAGAAGACAGCTGGCATAGTAGCCAATCTCAGGTCGAACGTTTGCCCACGATTGTTCACGACCCACAGCGCAAAACTGGCGTAGGGCAGCCAGCACACCAAGAAGCCCATCACCATGACCACCACCATCCTGGTCACCTCCCTCTCTGCCTTCTGGGTGGAGGCAGACTCAGCTTGAGCCTTCGCAGCCTGTTGATGGAGAGAAGTGTGTTTAGTCTCATGACAACCATCAGTCAAAATAAAGTATTTATCCGTTCAGTTTGCATTTTTTTTGTATTTGCATCACCATTTTCAGTGTGATGAGCAGCTGTGTGTAGCAGAAGATGATGGTGGTGAGGGGAACGGCAAAGCAGAAGCAGAAGAGGAACATCACGTATGATTCATTGTTGTATTTGTTGTTTGTGGTGTACCAGTCTGGTCCACAGGAGCACTGCAGACCCTCTGGGATGTACCTGGACATATAAGCACAGTGCACTGAATGAGGCCTATGTTCCGGCTTTACTGTACAATTCATGTAAGTGTAAGGGTGTGTGTGTAAAACTGACCTGCTCCATCCGAACAGTGGAGGAGCTGAGGCAATAAGTGCAAACACCCAGGTGAATACGCAGCAAGCTATAGCATGGTCAGGCTTGAAAACAAAGTTACCAAGTGGCTTGCAGATGACCAGCCATCTTTCAAAAGCTATCACAGCCAGAGACCACAGGCTGACCATACCTGCAATCATAAAAAAGAAAATTTGAAAAAAACATTTTAGCTTTTTAAAACTCAAGTGTCATAATATTACAGTATGTATGTAGTATGTACATTAAAGTTCATCTTACCACCAAGTGTCACCATGAAACCTTCAATCTTGCACGCTAGCGCTCCAAAGATAAAATATCTGGCTGAAAATGCGCAGCAGCCAACAAAGGAGCCGACACAGGACACGAGAAGGTTTCCCACGGCCAAGTTCAGCAGGATGTAGTTGAGGTGGGACCGGAGCTTCTTGTATTTCATGGTGCACACGATTGTGAGCGCGTTGATGCTAGTGCCCACAACAAATATAAAAAACATGAATATGGCCATGGCGTAGAAGGTGCCTGAGCTTGCTAGATGGTCCTGGGGGACGAGGAAGGGGCTGAGAGTCGTGATGTTGTTCGTATCCAAAGGGATGGGGATCCAGAAATCCTCTGGAAGCTCCATGACCCGGCCGTGCTTCATTTTTTCCCCCACGGGCAAACAAGAAAAGTCAGAATTTGCCTTTCATGTGATGGTGGTATTCAGTGTGTCCTGCTGGTCCACTTGTATGTGACAGTCCATTACAGAGGAGAGAGGGTAAATATATAGGACTCCCTACTGAACCTTTGATTAATTAAATTAAGAATAATTGATTTATACTCAGCAAAACGAACAGCCATTAAATCATTAGGGGTAACTGGTTTTAATGATGGCTGATCTTTGTTGACTAAGTCAAGACATGAGTCATGCACGTTGACTGACCAATAGAATAACATTAATAAGAATAAGAATCAAAAAATAAGTGTTACATAACATTAATTATGGTTCAACATGAAAGAGTGGTAAAAAACAGTCATTTTTTCTTTCACATCTATGAGGTGCCATTCAGCATCATCTTGCCCAAGGACACTTTGGTGTGAGCTGGGGTTTGGTTGGAGGACGACCATTATACCCCTCAGCCATAAATTAATGGTTTTTATACCAACAAATAACCATTTTGGTTGTTTGGCCTCTTAATTCCCTGGTTCAATTGGATCCAGTCTGTAAGGAAGGATGTTGTTTTGGAATCAGCTAATCCAGCCATCAGCGCTATTATCACCGCTAATCACATCCAGTCAGCCCTTGGGTAACCTGCCTTAGTATTAGAATGGATGATCCTTACCTCCGTCAACATAGCAGGATCAAGAAGGATTACCACTTGTGGAGCATGGATCTCATCACATAAGATCTCAGCACAGAGAAGAACATTTCATTTTTCAGAATCAAAACTTTAACACAATAAAGTGTTGAAGATCAGAAATTTCTCGAGAAAGAGTGGTAGTGACAAATGTATATAAGTAAGTGAAGATTGCTTCATTAGCCTACATCTGCTAAAACTAATGATAGATGTACGTATGACCTCATAAGTCTGTGCCACCTGTTTAAAAGGATGTGATGGGTTGTACAGTTTCTCCTATAAAATGTGCAAGTAACATTTGTTTTATTGTTGGCTTCTGTCGTGCTACCTGGCGGACAGCCTGTCTGTCCCAAACATCTAAATCAAATAGGCCTCTTACCTACTGCTGAACAATGCAACAGATGTATAAGAGATTTGCTCTCTAATTAAAAAGAACTCTCAGCTGGATTCACCGTGACACACCTGGCTAGGGTGACATCTTCCTGCTCTAAAAGCCTATGATAGTCTCTTAGCCTAGACATAGTCAATGTGTATTTACCATAGTTCAAGAGGTTTCTGAGACTATGATGTGTAAGAATTGTTACGGGATAACCCATTGTGACAGATGACGCCTTATCATACATTAAAGAAACTCCCACCATTGCTCTGTAGCACAGTGGTAGTCCCAGTTCAACTTCTGAATAAGCAGTGGAATAGTAAGAAATAGGTTGAGGAGCTGAGTGATTCCTTCATCATCCTCACATCATCGCAACCCCAATATACGACACAAGCAGATACAAATATTTTTTGTGCTCTGTTGAAAAATAAAGAACAAATGTTTGATAAAGGGGATAATATATTTAAGCATGTCTTATGAGATTGATTAGTAGTGTTTTTCCATTTAAATGATTTAAATAATTATTGCTGTTGGAACTGCTCACCAAATATAATTTATGAATAAACTGAATAAAAGATATAGAATCTCATTTTAAACTTAACAAAGTCCTTGCTTCAACCACCTTAAGTTACTTGTGTGAAATGGTTGGTTCAATGCATAACTTAAAGTGGAAAAACACAAAACTAATTTTCAAAGAGAGTTCACCCCAAAGTCAGGTCAAGTTTCAAACGGGGTCTACAGAATGATTCTGCATAGGTTTCAGTGATCACTCCTCAATTTATTGAATTTGTGTGAACCTACAATCATGTGACTATCACCCTTGGGTCACATGGTTACAGGTTGACTTTCATCCATAAAACCGTTTTATTGATGTTTGTTCTCTGTAAGGTGTCCTTAAGATGAGCGTCGTGGTTTGTAATTTGTTTAAGGTTTGCTGACCTTTCAGAAAATTTGTAAGGCAACAATTTCATGTAGTTTTACCATCAAATGTTATGAATCCTTTCTTATAATTTTTTTCAGGAACAAATACAGTGGGTGGGTGTTGCTCAGCAAGTAGAGAAGGTTTAATCCCCGGCTCCTCCGGTCCACATGTTAGTTCATGATGTATGAGAATGTGGTGTTTAAGACTAGATATGTGCTCCGTAAAATGCAGCCTTCAAAAAAGTCTTTTTGCAGTGTTTTGTATGATTTGCAGGTACAGTATATGCCCTGACTTCTGTGCAGGGTCATATGAGGTGCTGCACTAACTTAGATAGGGGAATGTTAGACTGATGATCTGTGGCTGGGGGGGTTAAGCAGTTATCTTCTCACCAGACTGGTTCGATCACAGTCTTCCCCATCTGCATGCTAAAAGTGTATTTGGGCAAAACACTGAACCCAGAATTGCCCCTCATAGAAAAATAAAAGTGCTGCCCATATAGATGCACTCTATGAATGTGTATGTGAGTTGGAAAAACTACTGTAAAAGGGCTTTGAGTGGTCATCAATACTTGAAAAGTGTGATATAAATACAGACTATTTTCATTTCACTATGTATGCTTCAGTCCTGTACTGGGGCAAAATGTGATCCTTTCATTTAGCTTGACACTAAAAGTGAAAAAATAAACTCATACCAAACACATTATTCTGTGTTGCAAACTACAAATAAAATATAATACATACTGAGAAAATAAAATTGACCAACTTCCAAAAATTGAATTTGAACAAACATAATTAATTTTTGTGTTACTAAATGAATTCATTATTCTAAGTTGGTCCAACAGTTTTCTTTTTCAGTGCAAACAACAGAAATAATATTTGAAAGGAAATTTTAACAAACTTTCAGAATCAAAAGCTTCAAGTCTATTGAAATGACTGTGAAAAGTTTATCAAACAATTCATGAAGTAAGTGTTGTTGATGAATGGGCATCGGAAACATCTTTAACTAGCCTGTATGGTCTATTAGTGGAGAATATTGCTTTCAGCAGATTAATGCAGCTTTACATGTGACGCCATTTCAACCAGCTTGAGGATTCGAGGGACACAAGCAAATAGGATAATTGGCATTAAGAATAGGAAGCAAGGAAAACAGTGGGCTCACAAGAGCATTAGAGTGAGACTTTCTTTCCTTCATCATAAACACTGTTCCTGAGTTCCTTTGTTAATGAGGTGAGATTTTGAACAAATAGTCACAATGCCAGGAGAAGAGCGAATAGCATCAACAGCCGCAGCTATGACATCAGTCTGTATCTGTAAAGGTGAATGGTTCAGGAAATTAATTGATGAATACTGAGACAGGTGCAGGGTAGACCACAAACCCCTGATCATATATGTTGAAGAAGTGCATGCACAAGACTCTTTTACAACCTTGTTTCACTACATGTCTTTTAAGACAGATCTATGCCAAATCCCATATAAGTATGGCAACAGAATATCAGCTTGTTAATCAAAATAATCTAATGATATAACATTTTAGCTCACATGGAAACAGCGTTTGAGAGAATGGCTTACACACTAATATGCTCTGAGACTTATGGTGAGTAGAAAGCCGCACACCCCTCCCTAAAAGCCTCCACCTCCTGCCGCTATAATCCTCGATCCATGTCACTTGTGAGGCTTTACACCATGATCTCTTTAAGATCTTAGAGTTCAGTTCTCCAGCCGCTATGTAAGACTCTTATCGTATGTCGACGATTACCGGCAGCTCAGAGCAGTATGGAAGGTCAAGTTGTTCGTCTGAGCTCCACTGACCTGCTTCACCTGCAGCTTTGCTCACGCACACACACATGCATGAACATGTTTCACTGTGATAGTGAATAGGAATTACTCTATGTATGAAAAGGAAAAAAGAGCGGCTGTATGAGCAGCTGCTTTTCTGTAAATCAGAACACATGATTGTAGATATTTAGCTTTCTTAGCCCATACTGATTAAATCACTTATAATGAGTCATGTGGAAATGACAGAAAATTAAAAGTGGAGAGATTTTTCACACAATGTCAGTCACAATGACACAACAACCTATAGATTGCATTTTACGAGGTCTTTTCATCAGCTTGATGATGTGGCATGATCGGTCTCTGGTCTGTTTCTTTTCCACGACATCA